AGATGATCCTCATTCATCTCTGACGGCACTCGCCACATCTTGGCAGCCGTAATTGCCATCCCCATGACACAGCCTCGGTCGACGGCCACCAGTGAGGAAAATGGCAGCTCGATGCGCCCAACGTTCGAGCGTCGCGGCTGGAATATCGGGGGGCGCCCATCGGGGCCTACATACTGCCCCTCTTCGTTAAGACTGTATTCGAAGGCGCCCCCTTCTCCGCCTCGGGCGCCAGCGCCCATCTTTTCCTTCCCTTTATCAGCCCTCTTGCTGACATTATCCAAGGGGGAGCCAGCCCGCTTCCGCCATCGAATCAAGGGCTCAGCTTCTTCTTCCCCGGAGTTGCCCTCCTGCTCCGCGGGCTCTGTAGTGGGCGCCTCAACGTGGGGCGCTTCTTCCTCTTCCTCTTCCTCCGGTGCTGAAGACACCACACTAGCGGTCTTCGTGGTACCCCTCTTCACCGCCCTCTTCTTTTGCTTCTTTGGGCCAGAGGGAGGCGCCCGTGGTTCCGGAGCAGCCGCAACAGGTGCCTTAGGCCGACTTGGTGGGGGCGCCCCTCCAGCCATGGCTGCAAGCCGACTCTTCATCAGCTTCGCAATGCTGGTGAAGTCCGACCCTGCACATCGCTAAGTAAGTTAGCACAAAAAACAGAGGTCATTAAACACAAAGTCACAACAAAGATATACACGTCATATATGGGCGCCTACAGACCATCATTATAATACGCCTCCAAAATTGGGGGGCGATTTTCAGTTTTGCGCAAGTATACGCGCGTCTCGTAAATCAGACGGGCGCCATCCTTTTCTGCTCGAGACAACACGACTGGCACGTTAAATTCTTCTACGCTCCCCAGCCTCCACTCTCTCAGGAAGGCGCCCCCACTTTCGAAGAATGAGTCTCGGTACGCCTTCATGAAGAAGAACCCGTTAAACCAGCTGCGCCCCAACTTCGGGCACTTCTCCACAAAGTGATTGGGGCGCCCCTTCCTCTTTTGAAGCGATAAGCAGTTGTCAAGGGGCGCCATTTTGAAAAAAATATCGAAATAGGTTGAAGGTAGGCTCCACGTGATTCTCACGGCACCTCAGCTTGAATAAGATGACTATTACGATTACCGAGGGAGACGGGCGCCCCAACGGACAGCCGCACGTCGTCAAAATGCCTTCCATTATGTGGTCGAGCGGGAACCGCAGCTCGAAGCGAAAATACTCTTGATACACCCCTATCCACTTAGGCCCACAGACGCCCACTCGTGAGATAGAGGAGGGAGGCGCATACCACCAGTCACGGGGTAGTTGAAGGCTGGTCACCAACTCATGAACACGAGCCAAGGTGACGGTGGAGGTGCGCCTGGTCCCGCCACGTCAAAGGGCAATGTGTCCTTCTCCTTTGGGAGATGATCGGGCGGAAACGAGTTCTCCCACGTGGAAATCTTGTACGACCCATCAGCGGGCATGAAGCCTGGAGTGGAGGCGCTTGATGGACCCGCGGACGTCGATGCAGGCGCCCTCTCTAAACCAACAAATGACCCAGGCGCAACGTGGACGCGGAGTAAGTGACGCCCTACCCTAGGTAGCTAGAATAAAGATAATGAAAACAACTAGTAGATCAAGAAAATTCCTTACCATTTCGAATTGGGCGCCTTGCCTCGCCACCCGCACCCGAGGCGCCTGCTACCGAAGCGCCTGTTCTTGCCTCGTCACCTGCAGTGGGGGCGCCCTGGCCGACGACTTTGTCTGTTTGCGAAGACATTTTTGGCTGAGTGTGAGGAAAGGTTGACGAGAGCATAGAGGAATCTAGAGAGATGTCAGGAAAGAATCTAGAGAGAAGTCAGAGCGGAAATTCTAGAGAGAGGCGAGAATGTGGAAAGTGACAAGGACTGAAGGCGAGGGGGGTATTTAAAGGAAAGGAGGAACGTGTGTCAAGACGCGCGTTGCGCGCCACGTGTCACCATCAAGGGCCCGCTTTTGAGCTCTCCCCACCTTTTCCTTTTTTGGAATTTTGCCAAATCCTCTTTTTGAATTTTTTAAATAAATTCGAAATATTTTTCAAAATTCAAACAAGAAAAACGTGGGGCCAATATCAACGCCCGCCCGTGAGGGGGGCATAGGGTGTAGAGGCGTCTTTCTGAGAGGCGCCCATAAAACAAGCTGAAGTCAAGGAGGCCCAGCAAGCTGAAGTCAGGGCGGATAACACGACGACAGACGGCCAGTAGAGAAGTCAGACACCATAAGGACGAACGTACTCGGGAAGCTGGGCGCCTACTGACAAGAGGAAGGGCGAGACCACAATAACTGAGTCAGCTAGGCGCTCAAAAGCAGAGCTATGAGCACCTAACTGGGGGGCAATTGTTGTGGGTGTTATGAGCAAGGCCCAATGGGCGACAACTTAGGCTTCCAAACAGCCGAATTTGGGGGCAAGGCCCAAGCAAGGTGGAGGGCACATAAGGACAAATCACTAGAAGCCAAAGGGGGCCAGACTGACATGTGGTCCAGCGTCTGCGGGCGCCTGTCACGTGCCAGGAGTCTGACAAGGTGGTTGGGATATCTGACCAGAAAGGGACAAAGCATTAAATGGAGACAGTGAGGTAGAGAAGATCAACCTCGAACTCTGGTGAGTATAAATAGGGGCAGTTGGTAGCATTTACACAGGTTGGACTCTCTCCCACAAAACTCTGGTTTGGAGACACTTCTCTCTTCCAGGAAACTAACTTGGGCGTCGGAGGATTAACGGGCCCAGGCGCCCCCTCCTTGTTCGTGTGTGCAGATCGGTGCCTTGCGAGTGAAGGTTTCAGAGAGTCGTACGAGGGTAACGTGTCACAAACAGGTGTATATTTTACGTAGCAGTTGTAAAATGTCATTACGGAATTCTTACGCAATGGACGGTCCTTTTACATGATGAATATTATCCTCGCGTTGCATAAATTGATAAATCATCATATAAAATTTATGTAACTCTTATGATTTAACTGTTACGTAAGAATTAACTATAATTTCGTAACATATACGAAATGAATGTGTATTTTACGTTACAATTTTAAAGTATCATTATGAATTCAAACTTGAATTGTGGATACAAACAAATACGAGTTTGTTGTCTGGAATGTCGGATTTATAGAGTCAATGCTGATAAACTATTAAAAATAGTGAAAGAATAATACGTCCTCCTTATTTCTTATTAAATGGAGGAATGGAGTATTTACAAAAAGAAAAATGGAATGGAGTTGAAGCTCCTCTTAAAGTTTAGTGATTTCAATATCACAAATCCCATAACTCATAACTGAATTAACAATTTCGAAGATAATCAATTATCTCTAACAACATTTGTGACTATAATGAGGTAAAAAAATTTATCATGAAAATGGTATTTCATATATGATTATTTTTTATTTTTAAATTTGCTTAGTAGAAGATGTTAAAAAAAAAGCCTTTTGGAATATCTATAATATTGTGTAATTAGGTACATTACGAGCTGATATTCCCTCACATGAGTCCTACCATTTTAATTTCAAAGAAACTTTAATGGTAAAAACAAAGAAACTACCTCGCTATTTTGTAAAATGAATACCACTATTTGTTAATTAAAATGACATTAACATATAACCGTGACACCCATTTAAGAGGAGCATACTACTGACATTTAAATTTGAAATCTATATTAATTATTGTTATCATATTGCAACTGGCCAACAGCCGGGATACAATCTAGTTCAAAATGCTTCAAATTCAATGCATGAATTTGCTTTATATATTTTATTAGATATATTATGCTAAACTTGACATATAGGTAGGGCTGGGCTAACTCTATCTCACTATAAGCCATTGCAGTTGGTGAATTTATTTAGTTCACACTAGCTAATGCTTAGGTTAACCCATCTCAACATCACATTTAGTAGCCCGAGTTAACTGAAATTGGTTATGTATAGCTCAAAGGTAGTGACACTTATAACTAGAAGTGATTGAGTGATGTGGCGTTGGAATGTTGGCAACCTGTCATACTGTACTTGTGTCAAAACATTCTTATACACATGTGGTAAGTGGATCTATGAAAGGATGACAAGTGTTTGTGAGATTATGCCAGTTTTCAATGAAAAGAGATGGATGCGACTAAGTTAAGGGTGGCAGGCCAAAACACCCCTCAGTCCACTTCTATAAAAGGGAAATCAAGAGCAAAAATTTTAAAAAAAAAAAAAAACCGTAGTACCTCTAGTTGCATCGCAGAATATCAGTATCGAAGTCCAATTCGGAACGGTACAAGCAATCATGGCAAAAGACCGTGTCGATCGTTATTTAGAGGTTGAACATATAATTTTCTGTATTCTGGCCGGTTATTAATCATACCTAACATCCCAGATAATAATAAAAAAGATTCTTCAATGTCAAAATGATGTGGTTTTGAGAGAAGGAAGAGCTCTTCTTACCAATACAACGCTAATCGACACTTACTCTATCCTTTTCACTCCTCCTCTAAACGTCACTCAGCTCCCTTAAGCAAAGAGAGATCGAGCCTTCACTCTGACATTTGGGATAGAAGGTAAAGTTTTCACTTTGCAATTGAGTATAGCTAGACGTAATTTCAAGATTAATTGGCGAAATTGTGAATTTGACTCTATGTACCTTTTTGTATCTTGATTTCTCATGTTCAGTTAGTTAGCATTTGACTTATTTATATCCTGTGTAATTCCTCTATTTTTTCCAGTATGATGGCATATTTTCTTCGGTATTGTATTTTAACAAGAATATATTTCTTTTAAAAATTATCTTTTACTGATATAAAACGGTTGAACCACAGACATATCACATAATAGCTTAACATAGACTAATGAGATATAACCTCCGACCATTCATCTACGCATCTTCATCAAACACATTCTCCAAAAGGGTTCCAACATTTATAATTATAGCCCCATTCATGCCGGCCCCCTTGAGTGGCTTACCAAAAAAGGTTGTGGTTGTAATAGATCTATTGCAGATCTGAGAATTTGACTATGGTAAAGTCATTGTTGTTCTCAAAACTGTATTTTATTGTCAGTTTGTGTGCAATAAGGAGAGAAATAAATAGTAGCAAGAACGGCAATTCTGATATATGGTTTTGGTTTATATCTTATCGTGACCTTGCTACCTACCATGGGACCGGTTACTATGACAACACCCCTTGTGTTGTTATTGTAACAATACTAGTCTCCAACCAATAGAAAGCTAGGATTGTGATGACTTTTTATTAGATGAGTTGACCTAGTGTAAAATCAAAGCAGGGGTATAATTGTCATTATGAAAAATATATTTAAATAATAAAAAAATATTTTTTTATTTTCTGCCCAAAAATTTGGTCGCCGGAATTCTGCCACAGGTCGCCGGAAAGTGGTCGCCGGTCACCGGAATATGCTTTTTGTCGCCGGAATATGCTATCTGTCGCCGGAATATGCTTACCGGCGTCGGAATCTAGTTATCGGGGCCGGAATCTGCTCATTGACGGTCACCGGAGTTCGGTCAACGACCACCGGATGTTATGGTCTTCATTGTGAGATTTATGGTTTGGTTTCTCACATTTTTGTATGCCTTTTGTGGTTTGCTTTATCGCGTTTGTGGTTTGCATTGAGAAGTTTCTGGTTTGCTTTATTGTGTTTCTGGTTTGCATTAAGAAGTTTCTGGCATGCTTTCGAAAAAAATTTGGTTTGCTTTGCGGGGTTTCTGGTTTGTTTTAATAGATTTTTGGTCTGCATTACGACGTTTCTGGTTTGTTTTTGTGGTTTGCTTTATCGTGTTTCTGGTTTGCATTATGAGGTTTCTGGTGTGCTTTCGAAAATTCTGTGGTTTGCTTTGTGAGGTTTCTGGTGTGTTTTAATAGTTTTTTGGTCTGCATTAGGACGTTTCTGGTTTGTTTTTGTGGTTTACTTTATCGTGTTTCTGGTTTGCATTAAGAGGTTTCTGGCGTGCTTTTGAAAATTTTGTGGTTTGCTTTATGAGGTTTCTGGTTTGTTTTAATAGATTTTTGGTCTGCATTAGGACGTTTCTGGTTTGTTTTTGTGGTTTGCTTTATCGTGTTTGTGGTCTGCATTATGAGGTTTCTGGTGTGTTTTGGAAAATTATGTGCTTTGCCTTGTGAGGTTTCTGATTTGTTTTAATAGATTTTTTGTCTGCATTAGGACGTTTCTGGTTTGTTTTTGTGGTTTGCTTTATCGTGTTTGTGATTTGCATTATGAGATTTCTAGTGTGCTTTTGAAAATTCTGTGGTTTAGTTTGTGAGATATGAATAACGATGAAACTAACCAAAGCAAGTCTCAACAGCTCCATTCACCCATCCATTCCTATGAACAATGTTACACCAAAATGGAATATTAATGTACACACTCCACGTTCTATCCTATCTATCTTGTCTTGTCGACTGATCGAAGAGCCTTGTGTGCTTAGCTTGCACTGTAAACATACACCGCCATTGTTAATTCTGCTATAACCCAAAACGGGGGCAAAACCCTCCAAACTGGTGGGCACCTAACCTAATTACCCTCTCTATGAAAACGACTGCAGAGCAATTTCGAGCCCTGATGATGTGTCAATTGTCCTGTTTGAATCTGTAAATTCAACAATTATGGGTTTTTTTTTTTTGCTGATCACAAGTCCCTCTCGATCGATCAACATATGCTCTTGATAACAAGGGAACTGAAACTTGACGATTCCTCTCGATTGCAGGGCTGGGCTCTTGCTCCGTGTAGTTCTCCGGATGTGCGATTCGGACGACGAACTCACAGTTGGAATCCCCCGGAGGAAGCTCGACCTCCGCCTTGGGGAGCATCCGTTCCCTTCCAGAATGCCATTTCCTCGTCCGAATTGCGGAGCGCGAGCAGTCCGTTGCAGTAGCAGAGGATCTCGGTTCCGAACATGTTAGCTTCGAGCGGGTGGTCCAGCTTCGCGACGGCGGCGTGGAGGCGTTCGAGGTCCACGGAGGAGAGAAAAGAGTGTCGGTGGAGAGAAAACAGCTGTCGATTCTCGACGACTTGCGGTAGCAGAAGCTAGGACTTACCGAGGTCGCTATTGCAGCCATGGAAGACGACGGCTGCCGCTGACGTCAAACAGGATCTCTCCCGGCGCTCGTATCTAGGGATTGATCGGCGCCGGAACATAGAAGGAAATAGAGGAGGACTTGCGACGCCGGCGGTGGAAGAAAGAAGGAACAATCTGAGATGAGGCTGGCGAGGAACGGCAGAAATTGCATACGAGATAGAAGGAGTGGATTAGGGTTTGGAGATTATTTATTTAATTTTAATTTGATATTTTTTTGTCAATTTACTTATTTACCCTTAATGAATTCTGTTGTTATAATAACAACAACACTAAAGGTGTTGTTATTCTATCCGCTCCCCCTACCATACGAGTAGATGTTTGATAGTGCCATAGATACTACTTCCATTCTGCTAAATTGTTTTCAAACCAATTGTATCTCTACCAATCCCACTCGTATTTGGATATATGATAAACAATTTTTCGATAACAGCTTAGTTTGGCCCTGCTGTAGTTTTTGCAGAAGTAGCTTCTGGCTGAAACTTTTAGATAAGTACTTTTCAAAAAATGCAGTTGAGTATTTGGCTGTAAAATGATTAGAAGTATTTTTTTTAATATGAAATATTGTGTAAAATGACTATAAAGGACTTAATATAAAATATGAATAAAAATTCTAAACAATAAAAAGCAGTCAAAATGGATCTTGTTAGATTTCTTTTATATTAAATAATATGATTTTATAAGTTATTTTATTTTAAAAATAATATAAATAAAGGAAAATTATATTTTCTAAAATAAAATTAAAATATGGTAAGGATAATCTTGTATTTTCAAAACAGATTTTCGCAGAAGTTTCAAATCGGAGCTTCTGCTTTTATGTTATACAAAAGTGCTTTTCGGCTTTTCAAAAGCCGAGTTTTTACAACTATTTGGCCCTGCTTCAGCTTTTGAAGCCGAAAAACAATTTTAAAAACCGGGCCAAACATAGGGAATGGCTATAAATTTGTAGCGCCATAAAAGGTGTGCTTATTTTTGCATAAAATGAAAGATTTGAGTTTATTTTTTGAAATAGAAAATTTATTTCCTTCCGTGTCTTTGAACTTCTTGTTTATCTTTCTTTAAAAATATTAAAGCGCTTTCAGATCTACACCCCGTCCACGCCTTCCTCAACGAAGGATGACCCACGTCACGTCAGCCTCTCAAATTAAGCCCAGTTCGTCTGTTCAGCGGGAAACAACTGCCGCCTCCCTTTTCAACCTCCGTTAGCGTCCCTTCGTATCGTTGATCCCAACTCTTCACCACCAACAGGTTCTTGATCTCGCCAAATTTGCAGCGTTTCGTTTCCCAGATTTTCACGTCGTCCGTGTCTGCCAACTGCCTTCCTCCCCAATTTTCAGATCTCCTCTCTCTTTGTCGACCCACAACAGAACTCCAATCTTCTCTCTTTTCCACCGCGGTTTGTTTCTTAGATTGCGACCAAAATCTCCTCTTTACCGTTCGCTGCGATGGTTTGTCTTGCCTATTCTTCCCTTTCCAATACCAACCGCATACGGCCGACTTCTGCACATCACCAACGCTGCAATGCAATCATCCACCTGTCCACTTCTTTGAATTCCCGTAGCTAGGTAATTTTCCCTTCCACAAATTCCTTCCTTGCTCGAATTTCTTCAGCCGCCGTTTGGTTCCCTGCTCCGCCTCTGTCCCTTTACAAACCCTATTGTGTTCCCATCCTCATAGATAATGGTACGTACGTGTGCTTTGCTTTGCTTTCATATAGAAATTATATATGTTGCATTCAAACTACATGATGGGTACGTATGATTTTTACATGAAGCTTGGTTCAACGAATTACTTGATGATTGAAGTTGTAGCTTTTAGATCAAGCTTGATGGAATATATTTGTTCCTCACGTATATTTTGAGTTGAAGGGCTAAGATGCATGGAGGGTCCAATTTCCAGTTGGATATAAGGCTTATTGCTTGACTGTTCATTGCATAAGTGTTATTATGATTAAGTACTTGCACCTTCTTTTTTTTTTTTTTTTTTGGCTAATTAATGATGATTACATGGGCTACCAAACTTGCATTGTATAACAGTCACGTTGTTTCTACTTTGTTCCCTCGCGGTAGCAGTTCATATGTATCACTGTATCAGGTATGATTCCATCAAAACAGCACAACAACCTTTAGATTGTTATATTCTAGACAACCACTGAAATTCAAATGCAATTACGGAATCCTCTAAACGTTGAAAGCTTCTTTGTCCAAAATTGTTTGGGAAAAGTGACGTGTGTAGTGTGTACTTGCTGTTCAAACTAGGGGTGGGAAACGGTTTGGTCCGGTTAAAACTGGACCGGATTAACCCGGTTTTTTAAAACCGTTTCGACCAAGACAGCAACCGGAAATTGGATTGGATAGGGAGCCGGTTTCAACCGTGACCGGACTGGATTGAATCGATGGTGGGGGCGGTGGACCGCTTGAGTCAACTGAGGAAACAAACAGGGCTGAACGGAGCTGAACCGTGGTGTTTGATCCCGGGGGAATCGGACGGGGCGACGGTGAGCTATTGCGGCGGATGGTAAGAAGAAGATGATGAGATTGAGCGTGTGCTACGACGATCGGTCGGGGCTGAACGGAGATTTGAGGCAGGCGATTCGGCCGGTTCGGGCGGAGATCAGTTGAAGTCGAGGAAATCATGGGATCTTTTGGTGAGCTCTTGATCTCTAGAATTTTGTTTCGTTTTTTTTCTCATCAGTGGCCTCAATCGTTTTGTTCCCTGTTTTTTTTTCCCTTTTATGATGATTTTGTTTTCACCCTGTTTTTAAATGGGTTCTTTCTCTCTCAAAGGGTTCGTTTGATTTCTTTCCCAGATCTGACAGTTTTTGTTTGTTTTAAATAATCAGATCTGGCAGTTGATGGCGAGAGAATCGGGTTTAAGTTTTAAGCGAGGGGTTGGATGTGATCCAGATTCTCAAGTGGAGTGGAAAAGAAGAAATGACTTATGTCAGAGGTTTTCGGCACATTCATGGATATATGTTAATACCCTGGAACCAAACAATAAACTCTTGGTCCTTCTTTTTTCTTTCTTTGGTTTTTCAGTTTTGATTCACTTAGATGGGAACTGTAACTGTGGTCTTGAGAAGAACCAGATTTGTAGGTTCTGTTTTGGGTTCACAAAATTGTTCACCTATTCTCCGTTTGATGAATTGGTCTATCTCCCCTTCTCACTGTTTCTTCTTTCAAGCTCTATTATTTCGTATCGATCTTGATTGGTATGAAGTTTGCACACCTCGATGGGTTTTGCTTGATTGTGCTTAAATGGGTTTCGTTGGTGATGGTGTGACTAACGGAAGTCCCGAGGTTACAAGGAGCCTAATGAGTTCTATTTCTTTCGTTTTGTTTCACTTTCTATTATCCCACTATGCAGAGTTCTGGTTTGCTCCCATTGAAAGGGAAGTGGGACTTCGCCAGTGGTCTTTGTATTTGAGAATCAATGTAATACTATTCATCTAGACCTAAATTTACTGTTTGGCCTCCCCTGATTGGTTGCTTTCGTGTGCGTGGCCCCGCTGGTTTTCTCAGTGTGTTGGGGTTGGGCCGGTGATTTTTTCTCCGGTTTTTTTGAGTTTGAGCCGGAATTTCTGTGTGGTGCTTTGCGAAGCTGAGCCCACTGCCCGTGGAGGGTCGATGCTTCCCTCCTCTTTCTCTGGCTGTTTTTTCTCGCATACCTTCTTCTCTCTCTGGGCTTCTGGTACGAGACAGGGATTTGTCTCGACCCTCCTTGAGAAAGAAATGGAAGGTCAGTTCTTGGTGGTGGTCTCGAGATGAGAGAGGACTCAGAGGAGACAGGGATTTGACTCGACCCTCCTTGAGAAAGAAATGGAAGGTCAGTTCTTGGTGGTGGTCTCGAGACGAGAGAGGACTCAGAGGAGAAAAGTGGCTCAAGTTCCTATCGTGGTTTTCTCAGTGTGTTGGGGTTGGGCCGGCGATTTTTTCTCCGACTTTTTTGAGTTTGGGCCGAATTTTCTCGAGGCCCTTTGAGAAATGTAGGCAAGAAAAGAGGAGCGACCAGTTGATGGTTGCTGTTTATTTTAACAAGAAATTGCAGGTGGAAATCACTGCTTTAATTTGAAATTTGACATGTTCCAATCTGTTGCCTAATATAAATGTTTGTGGATAGTCATCTAAATATCAGAACAAACTGACCCTAACAGCACCAAGTTTGAGGGTTGTATGATGTTTTTGCCTACGTTGAACATAGGCATAAATGAGGAACCAAGTACAGCCCATGTTCTAAATATACAGCAAGAGCAAACTTTAGTTTAATTGTGTGGTATCACCTGGACCATTGACAATGTTAAAAATGAATATACAATAACAAACTGCGGTTACATGATTAAAGTGTTCTCGAATGAAACATTTGTGTTTTCTCAATTTGCTTCAAGCCCGGGCGCGTATAGATAAATATAAATAACGGGCCCTCTTTTACGATATATAAGTAGATATATGAACTGGGCCCAGTATTCTCATATTTAGCCCGAATAGGAGATGCCTTTGTGCTTATATTAAGTTTCTATATCTTTTGGGAAGCCCATTCTATAATTGTTAGGTCCATTAGGGGTTCCATTGAATATTAAATTTATGATTTTATAATGGTGGTGCGTAAACGTTTTAGGGACCAACTTCCACCGCCTTTTCATTTCGGTTCTGATTCTGTCTTTTAACTTCCCCTGTACTCTGAACTTCTTTTCCCAGGAACTACAGTGCTTCGCGACTTCCAGATCAGGGATAGTCGTGTATTCATGGGGTATGATCGCCGATAGTTTTCCCTTTTGCATTCTAATTCTGTTTCTTGACACTTTAACAAATTTTTGATCTTCCATTGTCTTTCCATATCAAGCATCGTTGTATAATGCCGCGTGATTTCAAACTTCCAACTCTTCCACGAGGTATCGGCTCTGTTGCTTTCTGTTTCAAGTTTCTATTTATTGGTTTATGAATGAACACTGTCGAGGTGTGAAGTTTTGGGATTTTTCTTTGTCTTTCGTTTGCCACAGACCCAATTTCCACATGCATGGTGTTTCGTGGTCTACGTGTTGGTGCTTATACTGATATTATGATCATCCGAGTTCTTAATGTATGGATTGAGCATGGTGATGACTCTCAGGGGCATAAAAGAACAATGCATGTGCTGTGTCTTGACAAAGAGGTCTGTCATTTGTCTATATAATGTAATATTTACTGTTAATGTTTGATTTTATTGTAGTAATGCACTAAATCACATTTAACAGGAACATATGCTAGAGGCCTGTATTGAGGAAGATGACATTCAAGAAATGCAACATAAGTTGAAAGTAGGAGATTTACATGTCCTGGATGGATTTCATGTTATTCTTGCGAGGGAAAACAGGCGTGTTGTTCCCGCTGAAGTTCGCTTCGCCTTAAGGCGTGAACAGATCATATTTTGTGTGCCTGACAATCAGGGTTATCCCAAGTTTCCTGTAAATGCTTTTCTGAAAACTTTGTTCTCGGCTGTTCCAATAGAGGCAGAGGCAGTTGTGAATTATGGAGGTATCTTCCTCGAAAGTTGTTTTCACAAAAAGTATTCATGATTATTTGCTTACTATGAATTTAATTGCATATGTTACAGGTTGCGTTGTTCATCTGACAATTCCAGAATTTTCAAATGATGGTGTTCTTAGGTTTGAGCTCATCATAGAAGACAGCAGGTTTCTTGCGTATTCTTGTGCTGATTTTTGTTTGTTAGACTTTATGTGGGATTAACTGATCTTTTGCTATTTTGTATAGAGGGGACAGGGCGACAGTGTACTACTCTGGAACTAGGTTACAAAGTATTTGGAGTTTGCAGGGGAATCTGAAGCTCGACTTCCTCTCATTACCACAATTACTGCTGTTACAAGGTTGCCAATTACAGATGCCACTGGAGATGCATATGTATTCCAATCTTCACCTGGAAGTTGTCTGATCATTGCTTCTTACAATCACCATTATGAGAAAATCATAAATAGGTATTATTATGTTCGAATTCTATGTTTATATATTGACAGACCTACTCTGTTGGATGCTAGAAAAACAATACGTACATTCTTTTTGTTGTTTAGGTTCATAGGTGATCGAATGCCAGTGACTTACATCAATAGTACTTCTCGCTGCTCTATTGGTTATCTTCGTGGTCTTCTTCCTCCCAAAAGAACACTCAAGCAGCTAAAGGATGATATAATGTTCCATGCACAGGCCTACCAGGTATATGTATGATTTTTGTTGTTATGATTATATTGGATAACACATATCCCAAATATATAGTCATATCTTTTACCTATTATAACACAAATTCCTTCCTTCAGACTCTCTATCGTTGTATGCTGAAATGACAAGATTTACATACGGTCCAGAAGTCTTTAAATCATGTTCAGGTTTTCCAAGGTATGATTCAATTTTATGTTTTGCTAATAATCTGTTGTCTATTGCATTCCAGGAAGATCAAAACGTTCCTTTTATTGTTTAATTCAGGGTACGATATGAATTACAAGCAACATGTGAGTGTGAGGGAGATATGTTGATGTTGTGTTTGATCATGAAGCTGTGTTGGGCTTGGTTTGGGTTTCACCCGAGGAACTTTTCAGTCTAACCTATGAAGAAGGATATCAGTACATTCAAGACAGGTGTTATGTGCCTTTTATGGCTGAAGCTTATGTTGCTCCTGGGACTTCAGAAAATCCTCCTACAATCCGA